AACCACCACTCAAAAGCGCCTTGCAGAATGGAAAACAACGTCGGCTCCGAAGAACAAAGACAATCAAGCATCTGCTACATTGAACTTGCACAAAAGTTTTGACACCTTAGACGATGAGTTGGACGAAGGAAATGGGGAACAACATCCAAGTATAATTAACCTTGACATTAGTCAACAATCCGATCCTGATCATCAACCAACCGAAGACAATAACACCTCAACTGGGAGTAATAACGGCGGAACCCTAACTGGACACATAACAGATCGTAGGAACCAAAACAAAGAAAAATCACAGGAAGCAAAACAAAACATAGTCATCATTGGTTATTCCATTGTAAAACACATTTTTCCAACAAATTTGTCTGAGAAAAAGGTGCAAAAATTTACTTATCTTGGTAAAACGGCCTCAGAAATAAACAATAAACCCAATACAATCGAACCAAACCTAACGCCTTGCCACGTTGTAGTGCATGCGGGAACAAACAATATCCCTTCGCAATCCGTGGACGAATGTATAAACGACATTGAAGAACTTATTGTTGGAGTGAAGGAGAAATTTCCTAATTCAAAAATTGGTGTATCTGGTATTACAACAAGACAAGACATCGACTCGACATCAAAGGTTAATGAGGTCAACGAGAAGATCAAGGCCATCTCACTGAAGCATAGTGTTAAATTTATTGACAACTCATCTTTGGACGAAACCTCTCTAAACTCCAGTAAGCTCACTTGAAATAGCAACCCATTTCATCAACTTCATTAGAGGGGGAAAACCATCAAGCCAACTGCGTAAACGCCCCAGACGGGATTTTCAAACGGTAACCATAAACCAGCTGGAGGAACTGTTGAAGCTAATTTCTCGCTTGGATCGCCATCCAACAATTTAAACTCATCAGGAATGACTCATTTTAACAATAAAGAAAATGCCGGGCGGGAGACTGAACCTGTGCTACCGGATATAAGCCGTAAGTGTTTTGATATTAATTATAAACCGTTTGGTAAAGGTTTAGTGATGGCCTCTCTAAATATTAATAGTCTTTTAGCACATATTGATGAATTTCGAGTTTTTATGAATGAATCTGATATTGATATTATTTCAATCAATGAAACAAAACTTGATTCTTCAATTAAGGATAATGAGGTTTATATACCTGGTTACGATAGAAAAATAAACGGATGACATGGGGGTGGTGTTTGTATCTATATAAGATGCAATCTTAACTATAAAATTTGTAAAGATTTAAGCTCTGATGAATTAGAGTATCTAACTGTAGAAATTACTAAACCTCGAACTAGATCACTACTAATTAGTACCTGGTATAGGCCCCCAGACTCACCAGTGTGCCATTTTTATCATTTTGAGAAAATAGTAGAGAAAGTTGATGAAACAAATCATGACTATTTCCTCCTAGGCGACATAAACGTGGATCTTATGCCGGGTGTAACATCAGTCAATGGAAATAAATTGAATAATATATTCGAAATTTTTGGCTTAAAACAACTTATTGTAGATCCTACCAGAACTACACCATATTCCTCTACCCTTATTGATCTTTGTGTTACAAACGCTCCATTAAAGATCGTAAATTCAGGGATAATAGAACTTTCTATAAGTGACCATGTTTTAGTCTATATGACACACAAAGTCCACTACAAACACACATGTTCGCGACTAGTTCATATAAGAAGCATGAAAAATTTTAACACAGAAAATGATTTAAGAGATTTAGAACAACAAGCATGGGCAGACGTAAACCTAAGCAATGATCCTGATGAAATGTCGGTGAAGTGGAAGAACATGTTAATTAATTGCATTGACAAGCATGCACCACTCAGATAAAAAAGAGTTAATTGGGAAAAAGAAATCTTCCTGGATCACCAGCCAATTAAAGCAAAAAATGCGTAAGAGAGATTTTCTGAAAAAGAAAGCTAAGCAGATCGGCGATCCATTAATTTAGCAACAATATTAGCATTCACGAAATAGCACGAATAATGAAATTAAAAGTGCAAAAAGTCAATGTTTTAAGTTTAACCTTGAGGCTAATAAGAAAAATCCAAAATCAACCAGGAAACTTATTAACGAATTAAACTCTCGTAATGCCTCTAGCTACAAAACTATATCCAATATCAAAGTGGGTGAAGAAACCATATATACACCCAAGCAAATAGCGGAGACATTTAATTCTCACGTTGCTGGTGTAGTTGAAAATTTAGCATCCGATTTAGTATTTACCGGTTGTAAATGCCAGACAATTTTTCTTATCAGTAGGTAGAGGTCTGTCAATAAATGAGTTAAAAATCTGTAGTTAGCAGTCTCTATAGTAGCCAAAGAGTTAAGTATATACATACAGTAACTTGGCTGGGGACTGGGCAGAAGAAAAGCAAGAACATCATGTAACGTCAAGAATAGGGCGAAGCTCAGCTGCAGTTAGTTGAGGCCTTCTTTACAGGTTAGAAAGAACATTTATATATTTGAATAATACCCTGAATCTAGCTCGAAATTTTTCAACTATCCAACTTACAGTATATCCTGTATGCAGCTGGATAGCAAAAACATTCTATCCTGCACACCCCTACAAAGAACTTAATTCTTCAAGTAAGATAAGAGCAAATTGCTCCTTTATAGGTGTTAATATTTAGGTGAGATATGGGCGAGCATGCCACAGTCGGTAAGTAAAATTGTCTAGCATGAAATGTCAGAGTTAAGTGTCATGTCAAGACAGTATTAGTTGACTTTAAGAAAGCTTTCGACTTGATCGATCACCATATGCTTGTAGACAAACTAAAATCGTATGATATTCCTGAAAGCATTGTTTTGTGGGTTATTGACTTTCTTACTTGTCGCAAACAACGTGTCAAACTTGGTAACGACTGCTATTCTGAATGGGGAACTATTCCATCTGGGGTTCCCCAGGGTACCAAACTCGGGCCGTGGTTATTCGTTATCATGATAAATAATTTGAAAATCCAAGTTTCGGAACTCTGGAAATACGTCGATGCAGGGCCGTTGCGAAGGGATATGGATTGGGGGGGTGTCGAAGGTCAAATTGCCGAGTGACGCTAGTTGAATTTGCCGAGTTTTCAAAAGTTTGTAAAGGTTAGATATAGGTAATGAGAATCATATTGTTGTGCTAGTAACTAAGGGACACCAATATGGCTCTTGTTTTGAAATGGATGCCTGTTCGTGGGTTGTTGCTTTATATTAAACATATAAAGCTGGAAAAAAATTAAATTTAACATAATTTATACTGTGTTTTCACAAGTCCTAAATCGAGACTGAAACTATGTGCACACGGGTCACGTTTTTGAGCGTTTTTGCAGTGCCGTTTTCAAATTTAGCGTTTAGGCCTTGTTCACATTGATCGTTTTTCTCGCAACATTTTCTGACAAAGCACTAGTTTTTTATAGTCTTCGTTTCCAAATTCAAACACGGAATTTCATTTTCGCGTTCTACTTTTCTCATACACAATAACAAAGTGCCAAAACGACCAAACGTTTCAGACATAGAGAACGAAATGTTTGGCATCGTTTTCACTATTTGAAACGTTTTTGCTTCCTGACGTCGTTTTCATACGTTTTCGTGTGAACAGAACGTACGTGAAAATGGTACTTTCAGTTTCAGAAATTAACGCATTAATTACAACTAAAAACCGAAAAATGCTCGGAAACAGTACCGTGTGCATATAGTCTGAGTAACGAGTGTCTTAGACCGTGGTGCAGACGCGCATTTCCGCAAAGTCAGAAAGGTTATCCAAGTATATTTACCCCGGTTCCAGAGGTTTATTTTTATTATTTTCATTGCGAAGGGGAGAGGAAAATAAACCTCTGGTTGAAAGCGGCAATTGATTCATTGAGCCGCGCCAATCAGTTTGAATTAGGGTCAGATCCTGACTGTGTCTCCTGATTGGATGATCGTATTAAAGCTCTCTTATTGGTTATAGATGTTCTATTTGAACCAATCAGAGAACTTTAATACAATCATCCAGTCAGGAGACAGAGTCAGGATCTGACCCTAATTCAAACTGATTGGCGCAGCTCAATGAATCAATTGCCGCTTTCAACCAGAGGTTTATTTTTCCTCTCCCCTTCGCAATGAAAATAATAAGAATAAACCTCTGGAACCAGGGTATCCAAGTATGTGCATGTGATTGCATTGATATTTTGTTTCAATATTTTCATGGCAATTTGATGAATTTGATCTTTTTTATCCCCAGGCGCCGAATAGACAATTTATAATATTTTTTGTATTTTGAGCAGTCTTAAAAGTCTTAGTGCCGGATAGTGTTAACTGGGCTTTTGTACGACCCGATTTTCCAAGAGCTTAAATTTTATGGGTCAGAAAGCGAGTAAAACGGATATGATCATATGCAACCGATCGATGATACCAATCGCTGTATGCGGTATGTCTTTCAAAACTGTAGGCTGATCAGAGTTAACCGAGTAATTTCGCTAAAGAACTAAAGAAGACAAGTCCGTTCTTATCAGTGGCATGGCTCGTCTTTCTCTTGGTCTTCTTCTCATGTGCCTGTGGAGTCTTCTTGAGAATCTTGCGCCTCTGACGACTCAAAATATTCTCTTTGGCTTTGACTGCGGTTTGCAGTCTCAAACGGATTAGCTGGTACGTCTTTATGTGCTACTCGCACTCGGTTTCCCTTATGACAAGTTTGCTGGCGTGCCTCTTACGGTAATCGTCGGGCCGTATGTTAGATAACTTTTATGGTTAATACGTTTTCCCTCGTGAAATAAATAATAAAGTTTCTATAGTCGTCAAAAATCGAATTACATTCAAGACACTAAAGTTTTATTCTTTTTCTTTTGGGTTTTGAACCGCGCATAATTGATAAAGATACTTCGCTATAAGAGTAGTCGAGCGAAGAACATGCCCGGAAACGTGGGTTTCACATTTCAGCCTCCCGTCGATTTTCGACAAATAAAAGACCAATAGTATTACTAGAAAATAGAAATACATTTAAATGGTATAAGGCCACACAAACCATTATTTTAAATCCAAAATTTATCGCTTTATTTATCGCCTTCGTTCTTAACTTTTACAATTTGCTGAATGCCGATTTCGCAATTTGCCGAACTGTAACGAAGCAATTTGCCGACTGGAGCCGACTTGCGAAAATTATTGGGGGGGTGAAGCACCCCCCACACCCCCCCGCTCGCGACGGCCCTGTGACTATAAAGTATACTACAGTAGCTATATGCAGGGTGTGATAATTCTCGTACTTACGTACCGGAGGTACGCCAATATTACGGTCAGGTATTTTACCGTATTTCTTTGATCTCAGCCAAGTACTACGTGGGTTACGCGCACTTGGAAAAAGTATCCCACGTTCCTGACGGATCCTAAGTTTGCCCATTTCAAATGGTTCTTGAAAGCGCGCAGAAACTGTAGGGTATTTTATTTTGCATAAATTGACTACCTATACAGTATGTAAAAAAGTACTGTATATTGCTTTTATATTTATTTGACTACAAAAATTGACGCCTTCACTGGTTATTGCTTTTACAGCCCTCACTCATGCAGTAGGCAGACTGAAACATAGTCTATAGTAGGCTTTAGTTTGTATTTACCTACTGTAAAAGCTTATTTATTTTGTTCATTCAATTGAAGAATGGGACCAATGGCTTCTTTAATAAGTTTAACAGGGTATACCACCTGCATAGCTAGTGGCATACTGTCAGCAAAGTATAGAAGTACTACTACTGCATGCACTACAGTGTCACATTGATAATCATGCTGGGTTCCTGGTCTCGAAAATATTTTTTCTGCCTGTTTTCAAAGACTACAAAGACCTTTGAGAGCAATCAACTTGTTTCGAAAAATTGCACCATTTTTACCCAGTAATTAGTCCCGTCAAATCACATCCTAAAATGCGCATTTTCGTCGATATTTGCGAAAACCTTGCTCTTCAATCAATCTATTTTATCAGCTAGGAAATCGTATAATCAAATACTCACTAAAGAATTTAAAGACTTCACAATTCGGCAAAGACTTTTCAAAGACCTTAAAGACCTGCATTCAAATTTAAAGACTTTCAATTGGGATTTCAAAGACCGCAACGAACCCTGTCATGTACGGCATGAAAATGCGGACAGAATTTCTTCAGAAATTCATATTTTGGCTAGCAGGCTAACGAATACTGAATGCCCTCAGCTTAAATACTAAAGAAAAATATTTCCCCACTTTGCATGACTAATATTAATACAACTTCATTATAGTTTAATACTGTACTATATACTACTGTACTATTTTGTAATAGAATAATCCTCAGAATCTAAAGCGCAAAGCTCGAATATCTGTGAGTCTTTGTGGTTACTTGAGTACAGTGGGAAATGTCCAGCCTGCTTTGCGCGCACTGTTTGCCTGCAAATCGGGCCTTTCAGAACCGGAAATCGGGCTGGAGCACGCGTTCGTTCTTTGATCTTCTTTTGATTTGACATTAATTGGAAGCATGACGGTGCTCGTTTTCAAAAACAACTGCAAACTGCTCCAATTCTTTCTGTCACTTTCGGCCTCAGCGGCCTTTGATTTATACCGGTAATCAAACAAAATTTGGAAGTTACAAGATTTCCCAATTTCCATGGAGTAGACCTTTTCGCTAATGTCGGCGCCATCTTTGAATTATGATGCATTACGGTATAGCCGATTTCATACCAGCATCTCTTGAAGAGAAAATATATGGTGTTTGGTACTAGCTTTCATTGCCCACAGAAATTTCCTAACCAAAAATTGTATTTAAATTGACAATATTTAACTATTATTTCATGTTTCTCACCTGCCAGATACATTAAAACGGTTGGTAACTGTGTAAACTACGAAATAAAGCTAAAACAAAGTAATTTTGAGAGGAACGCCAAAAATATTTTAGATTTTGAATACTTTGAAAAAAACTTCCATAATGATTAATCGATAGTTTATTGGTACATAAAACTCAATTTATAATTAACACGGTCATATTTCACCACATATCCAGTGGTAATAATTCGGCTGAATTTACTCGTAAAATGAAATGTGAACAGTCTATATATTGTATATTTAGTTCCCATCTCAACGGACTACGTAATAGGTTTTCAGAAATGGGTACATCACTTACATGGCTGTCGATTGTGGTCAAAAAGTTCACATTTGTACGAAAGTACGTCATTTTGGCTCCTCGTTTCGTGTATGTGACATCAGCTGAAGCCCATGCACGTCTCAATCTCGAAAAAAAGGCTCCATAGCCAAGGTGACATACTTTCCGAAAGCGTGTATTAGCTTTTTCCACGCGGGGCCCAAAATCTGCCATTTTGGGGTGCGGTCTAGCTTCCCACGTCAGAGAATCTAGACAATCTAAAACTCCAGACAACACCGGACGCGATTCGACAACGCGACGCGATTTTTTAGTTTTTGAAAGTTACTGAAACAGTCGATGAGAGCAAATTTTAAAAGATATGTAGACCAAATGAATCAAAATGTTATAATGCTTCTAAATATTTAGAAAATTTAAACTAGGATCAAAGTTATCGTTCAGTGAAAATCGAAAATTCGCGTCGCGTTGTTGAATCGCGCGTTCGGTGTGTCTGGACCTTAAGCAATGTGAAAAGCGACTTTTCAAAGTTGTAACTGTACGTAAATTCACCATTATACCCACAAACTCGCATTTCGCGGCGCGTACACGCTCAGACTTGCGAGAGGCAGTACCCTAAAAACTGTGCACAAACCAATGGGTGATTTCCAGCTATGGACTAAATTTTGATCAGGGCAGGAAGAACGAAATCCAACAACACAGCTAGAAAGAGCGTCTTAGAATGAGTTATTAAAGCTGCAAAGATTGGTCGCTAAATGTTGTAAAATGAAGAAAATGTAACCCTTGTGAAGTTCGCAAATTTTGTATATATTTGTTTGACGCGCGGTAAAAATAACCACTTTGGGCTCAAAAATGGTTATTTTTCCCGCGCGTAATGCAAGTATATACAAAATTTGCGAACTTCACACGGCTATATTTTCCTCATTTTACAACAATTCGCAACCAAACTTTGCAATTTTACTCATTTTAAGATGCTCTTTCCAGCTGTGGTGATGGATTTCGTTCTTGTCTAGATCAAATTTTGTCTATAGCTGCAATCACCCATTGTCATTATTTCCTCACACTGATAACAACAGGCCACCATCTATGATCGTGCTTAGTGAAACCATAAACATTCAAAGGAATGTCTATGGTGACAGGTGAAACCCATCTATCTCTAGTTCAAGTATCGCTTTAGAGTATATACTGGACCAGGCCCGTAACTGGGAGTCAACAGAGTCCGCTGACTCGTTAAAATGTTTTGTGAAAAACTTCAAAACAGGAAGACTTCAAGTTTAGAGAAAAAGGATCCTGAATGAAATTTATTCAATTTCCAATGAAGGGTAGAAGTACGAATTAGCGTCCAAATATTACCACAAAAACGTTTTTTTTATTATGCACCTGATCATGTTGGACAAAGAATACTTGGATTCTTATGATTGGAAACTTGTAGCCGGTACAATTATGAGGCACACCATGAAATTATAGCGGCATTGTGTCACTATTTATGCGATTGATTTTTTCATAAAATTGCTCCCAGAATGCAGGAAGACTATGAAATTATAGTCATTGTGTCACTGTCCATCATTACGGACTTTTTGTTAAAATTGCTCCCAGAATGCAGGAACTGATAGCGTTTCTAAGCCTTAGAAAATCAAACATTTTCTGAGGGAGCACGCCCCGACTCGATTCGGTAAATCTAAAATCCTAGTTACGGGCCTGTAGACTATAATATAGTTAAAATTTAGTACAATGTCAATGGCAGCCAAGCCATGGTTTCTATGCTATACTGAGTAACAGTCTACAATACAGGGTCAGAAATAAAGAGAAAAGGGTTGGGTAAACAAAATTTTGAGTGAGTAAAAGGTTGGGTAAATGAAAAAAATTATATAACTCAAGGGTTGGGTAATAAAAATTTATTGTCATTTGCAAAGCTCACTCAAATATTGAAGAATAAAAAGCAACTTCAACAGTCATATGTCAATACGTAAATCAATCAGAGTCACTATTTTCATCATTTTCAGATTTGTCAGGAGGCAAATGGAATTTCCAAAGAAAGTGCATGTGCAGACAACATGAAACTTTAGACTGCAGAAAATTGCACAAGCAGTTATCAAACTCGTGTCACAGAAGTGGTAATCGTGTGACAATTGAATGGCATCCTTTTGGCCAGGGGTGGGTATTTATTTTTTAATTGATAATTGAAGTTGGGCAAAATAAATTTTGACTTTTTAATGGTTGGATCACCATAACGTTTACCAAAACACTTCTCTTCGAACCGCGAATTTCAGACCCTGTGACAATACTTCTCTACAATCTATCATTGTTACAACAAGTATATTATCTCTTATTAATTACAGTTGTTTATTTTTCATTCATGCTCAACAAGTGATTCAAAGCTGCGTCGACATTACCACCGCTGGCCTCCAGAACCGACCGTATCACTTCTTCGTCCATATCCGGGAACATATCCTTGATGTTCTTCACGTCCTCAGGTCTCACCTGCACAGGGGGGGCTGCCCGCGGGGGAGGGCGGTGTTGGGGCATGGCATAGGGCATGGGAGGGTAGTACATCTGGGGTGCAATGGCATAAGGCTGGGGAAAGATCATCACTGGGGTCGCAGGCACTGGCTCTGTTGATTCCTGGAAGAAAAATAATTTTTTAACGTGCTCAGAAATACACAAGAAAAAATTCAAAAACCATGAATAGAAAATAAAAGTAATTGCTATAATGGTATATTGATCATTCCCATAACCATTTACGAATTCAGTAACATTAATGTGAAAAAATCCATTCTTTTCAAAATGTATTCCATTAATAAAAAAACATGCAAATTATTGAAAATCATTGATGCGAAAAATAACATACAATTTCCATCAATTTTTTTCTACAAACTGTCGGAATTTTGATTCACATTAATGGTACCATTAATGGGTTTAATTTAAATACCACCAAACCAATATACGTTTTGTTGGCAATTTTCACAAAAAAATTTTAAGTTGAAAATTTTCAACTTTTTAACAATGATATTTTCGGAAAATTTTCCGTCCGTGGAATAGGCCTTTACATTCTAAGCAGTATCACCGTAGACAAACTCACCGTGACAGACATGACGACATTAATCATCCCTTCTTTATCCTCTCCCTGCTTGCCACTCAGTGGGTACCACTCATCGTAAGTCTCGCCCGCAGGCAAATCTTCCTTGATCTTGATCAGACCCCACGCTACCTGAGAGTCCGGAGAAAATGCTTTCTGGAAAACGGTCACAGAAGAATATTAAAATAAATTGTTAGAATCTTGTAAAATCAATATCTGAGTAAATACAACTTAACTAAATTTCAGGGTGGGACCTAATCTCATCTGCAAGGAGGGGTGCAGGTTTTCCATGGGGGTATAGTGTATGAGGGAGCCTTACGCCCGTATTCTAAAAGCTCACTCATACTCTATGATTGCTGTTTTTGAATAGCTGAAGGGTTAGTGTCGTACCTTACTATGTGACTACTCACCCTCCACCGCTCCAGCTATTCAAAAACAGCATTGACACTCAGGAGAAGCTCAGACTGAACCTCCACTCTTTGAGTGTGAGTGAGCTTTTAGAATACAGGCGTTAATGCCCACTGTCCTCTACAGTGCAACGCTACTATCCCAACATTACCATTACTTGAGATGGCCGAATCTGCATGTTCGCCGCTCTGTTACGTTTTACATTATCTTTTGTTTATACAGTTTATATCGGCTTTTCTGTGACATATGCGTGACTGAACAGTTGCTGTAGCACAGTACAGTTTACTCGCTTGTGAAAGTACAGTATATTTGAAAATATAGCTGTATAACATGCATGTTATGATGTTATTTTTTAGAGTGCCGGTGGTGCTAGATTTCTCTAGGGCGTGCTAGACAGCACTAAGGCTCTCTACTCCGACGGTGTTTGGAAGGGAAGCGGAACATGCCTGTCAGATGTTGAGATCCTAGGTAGCGGCACCACCTGCAAGTGCCTGAAGCTAACTGCAATCCATGGGCAGAAGGTCTTATGCATGCTTAATTAAGTAAAGTAGAAAATTTCAATTTTTCCGAATACATTTTGCAATATTTACAAACCAGATTTAATAAGAGTCGTACTAAAGCCGTAAATTCATCAAATGATGCCATGAAAAACTTGGCATTTTTGAGAAAAGTTTATTCAAACAGTCGGTGTTGTCAGCTTTCTTGATTTCCATTCATTGAATATTGTTACAAATACCATTATTTTAAATTAATACAATTTTGACAATATTAAACATAACTCAAAAAAATTTTGTTAGTGCCCGATGGCCTGTCGTAAATTTGCAAGTCTCAAGCGGGCAAGTTTGGAGGCTACCTGCCAAAAAACTAAATTTACAGGCATGAAGCGGAAGTACAGAGCCTGGTTTGCGAGGTTACACTAGATAGGCTGTGCACCCCCCTACAGGTGCCTCCATGGTAGATCCACCCCGATGCAAATTCAAATCCTGCTCAAGGCAACTTTAACAGTTGACTTTGGCAGTATAATAAATCATGAATCACAAACGCTTTCATACCTCATCGAAGATTTCGACGTAAACGGAGTTCACAGAATTACGTTGAAAAGGGCTAGACAGAAATAAGGTTATAAAAGTTCAGAAAACGTCAAAAAACAAAATAATTTGGAAAAAAATAAACACACATGCAAATAGATTGTAAAATAGTACAAACCATGTCACTGTCTTATTCCATCGAGGATTGATCGAGCCGTTTGAGGCTGTTGGTGTTTCAAATACATGATGGCCAACTCTGATTCGACAATATGGATCCATTCTTGTGAGACCATAATTCTTTGCAAGCTTAGCCTGGCAATACAATACAAACAAGTGTTTATTGAGTATCTCACTCATTGGTGAGCAGATTTTCCAACAAGCCAGCTATTGCCCAAATGTTGATAGGGGATCCGAGGTACCTACGATTTTAACGTCCTCACCCGAGAAGACACGAAAGTCTAACCATTTACTGATGTCAATGTAAAGGTATAGCACTTTCTCCTCAATTATTTTAAGACCTTGAGTAGAGGTCCGACCAAGGATTAAAAGCCTTGTGACCCTTGAAAGTCAAGTGTGGTGTAGATTTACCAAGTCGAGTCGGGGCATGCTCCCCCAGTGAGTGTTTGATTTTCTAAGGCTTAGAAACGCTATTTCGGACTGCATTTTGGGAGCAATTTTAACAAAAAACAGCAGTAATGATAAGTGACACAATGACTATAATTTCATAGTCTTCCTGCATTCTGGGAGCAATTTTAAGAAAAAATCAATCTCATAAACAGTCACACAATGACTATAATTTCATACAGTGTGTCTCACAATTGTACTACAAGTATCCAATCATAAGAGTTCAAGAATACTCTTGGTCCAACATGATCAGGTGCATGCATAATAATAAAAAAACGTGTTTGTGATAATATTTGGGACGCTAAATCGTACTTCTACCCTTCATCAGAAATTGAATAAATTTCATTCAGGACCTGTTTTCTCTAAACTTGAAGTCTTCCTATTTTGAATTTTTTCCACAAAAAAATCTTACCAAGTCAACTGACTCGGTTGACTCATAGCTAGTTATGGATGTGAGTAGAGCTTGTTAAAGGGGACAAATGTAAATTTTGGCACTAATACCGTTAAAAATACTTCATACCTGGGCGACTGTCACTTTGATTCTTGTGACGACTTGCATTGGAACATTAGATTGATACATTGCCTGATGCTGTGTGTTACCACCAGGGGGGTTCGGAGAACGATTGTCATCAAGTTGGAGAAATCCTTCGGGAAGATCTCCGGTGAGAACTCTGGACCTGTATTGCCCTGATTGTGTACAAAATATTTAAAAATATAAATGGTTGACGATGATCCTCGTTCGTGGAAAACAATTTGTTTAAAGTGTAATCAGACTCATGACCTCACTAAACCTTTTGCATGCTGTTTTTAAATGATAATTTTTTAAGAGACAATGTAAATGCTTTTGTATAGTTTGTTTGTTGTCTAATCGGATCACAGTTTGTTGTCTAATGGGATCACCCTGTCACAATTGTTGTATATTGTTGTATTGTTAGATCTAGTGCATTTCGAGTTATCTTGCATCTACGGTTTTCATGTCTGTTTTAATATGGTTTTAACAGTTTGTTAGTCTTGGAAAACGATATAGTCATTATAGTATTTAGATATGTAATTTTAATATATTGTGACAAAGTTTATAAAAAAAAAATGACATCGCGCATGCTCTTTTGGTACTCTTTAATATTTTTTGAGCTGCAAGCTTGGCAAGTGGCGCATCACCGCGGGTGAGATCTCGTCATGTTGTTGTTTGTACAACAGGCATTGCTTTGCAGGTTACAAAGCAGGGGTGGATCTACATGTACCGGTGGGGTGCAGGGGGGCATGCACACGCCCATAGTGGTGTCCAGCACCCCCTTGAAGAAAACTCTGGTATTCTATATTTGAGTTGTGAATACTAGTTATTATATTGAAACAATTTATTTTCGAATACGCAAGAAAATATTCGAGCACCACCAATACGGTGGGTCGGCATACCGTATAACTTTACATGGAACTTTTCTTATTTTTGCCCAAAATACAAGTACTGTGAGGACAAATTTAACAAATAAACGAAGTGCTTAGAGTGCAGAAAATTCCAAGAATTTTGAATTCCAAGAATCGCGGTCTGGGATTTGAGCAGTGAACTCGATGTTTCGAGATCAATGTTTCATGTTTGATTGTTATAAATATTTATTTATTTGCTGATTCGCCCAAGATATTGATATTGCACATAAAAGAAATAAACTATTTACAAGAAATGGGCTAGGAGCCTACTAGAAACCATATGGCTTTTGTTTTAGGCCCCTAGGTTATAAATTTAAACTAATTAGCAAAATAATATGCAGCATCAGTTCGAGTGCTTTTAGGAGAAAGGAAAAACAATAGTTAAATATTATATGATATGATAGTAAGTTATATTTACAATTCAATTTTTGATTTATAGTTTTTCTATACTTACAGGAATATGTTATTCTATTAAGTTTAGATGTGAGAAGTACTTTTTCATTATTGTCTTGAAGGAGTCGTAAGATTTAGCAGGTTCTTTATATTGAGTGGGAAGATTATTCCACACTTCTATACCTTCATTAGAGAGAGTGTGTTTTGTGTAATTGGTCCTATTGCTCTTTTTGTGTAGCAATGACGAATTTCTTGTGTTATGATTATGAATTTCCTTATTGGTTAAAAAATAGTTTGTGAATAATAATATAATAATGGATATTTCAGGATCAGTGTTAGAGGCAAATGTTTGTTCATTGTCTCAAGGATTTTAAGGCAAACGGGACTGGGTAACGGTTTAGCTCTGCTGTAGGAAGTGTACGCGGTTGTACTTCTCTGAAATTCTTGGTGTACGCCAAGCTAATTTCAGCATACAATCGTATGTCCGTACGCCTATTTTCTTATAGGCCGAATGACTGACGACTGATCATGTTCTTGCTACAGATATGTATAGATCCACTGTTTAAAACATGCAAGGTTTTGGTAAAATAGGGACAAAAATTTCAACGTGTTAGACTTGGTTACAGGCAGAAAGTATCAAGAGATACCGGCAGCTGTTGTTAAAAGCTGTCAAAACAATCAAATCATCTTGGCAAGCTGGACAAAATTTTCTCATATAAACAGAAGTCAAAACTCATTATCCTGCTTTCAATACAGGCAATCTCAATTACTGTTGCAAATAAACAGATCCTAAGGCAGCACTTGAATGACTCAGGGAACTATTTAAATTGGTTGAAAAATATATCAGTTACGTACTATACAACTCAAATAACCTTACCAATATAACTTTACAACTTCATTTCATTTTCTCAGACATTCAGGGAATCGAATATCATTAATCGACATCATGTCGTATACAATATAATATTATTATACAAAATTACAACGTCTTGTTTCTATTTCGGAATTCGGAAATTCCTCTTATAAAACTTGAAAAATGTGTGAGACTTGTACGTTTTATTTGACACTTTATGCCTTTTATAAATAGTTTCATATCTAAAGCTGACTTGTGTGTATAATACGAGAAAGATTTGATTATAAATATACACAAAATAAGCAAGATAAATCTTCTCACCTGCAGAAGAGTTTGTCGACGTCGCCATATTTCTGATTTTGTAAATAGAATTTTGGAAATGAATAATTACAGACACCCCCCACTGAAAATTAAAGATTAACCCCCCCCCCCTCCCGGTTCACAATTATAGAACTCTCTCCCCTCCCGGTAATTTCCAGAAACTCTCCATCCCCCTGATGAAAATTCCATACACTCCCCCAGTAAAAAAATTCGACATTCCCCCGTTAAAATTTACAGACACTCCCCTCCTAAAAAATTCCATACACACCCCGATTAATAATTTATAGTGTGCCCCCCCCCGCGTGATAAATTAGAGCATATACCTCCCCCCCCCGAAGATTCAACCTGCAACACCTGTGTTTCAGAACCTAAAATTGGTCTGCCTGATTTCTGTGTTTCCACAAACGAAAAGTTTAGAAAATTGAAAGTTGAATTTTTTGTATTCACTGCAAAAAAACACGCTATATTTTCACTAAAAAAGATGAGTTTTTTGGAGAATATAAAACTGAAATACACCAAACTAGCATATGAAAAGTATTTAAAATTAACAAAATCTAATAAACTATACCAGTTTTACAGTTTATGAGTATTCACACGGATTCATGAATATTATATTTGGAACTGTACATTTAAATATATTACATATTTGTAATGGAAACAGCGATATAAATATGTAAACAATTTTTTTCTAAAATCTACTTAGAATTGTTAAAATTACATCAATATCTGGCATATCTATCTACCACGTTGCCAAGTTTGTTGCAAAGAGTTGCCACGTTGGCATTTGCCATACTTTTTGCAAAGCTTTCTTTATAATTTCAAAAAAATTTAAATCTGAGGTAAGTGACATAAAACAATATAGCTAGCTTTGCACATGTTTGACTTTTAATACAGTATGCATATTTTCAGTTCAATTATGCGGATAATCCCAAATGTGAAATGATATAAATATATTATATTTTATTTTCCTTGACTTGTCAAAAGCATTTGATACTATTAATCATAGCATCCTGATTAAGAAATTAGAATACTATGGAATTAGAGGTGTTGCTCTTAAATGGTTTGAGAACTATTTAGCCTGACAGACCTCTCAACTCTCACGCATTCGGCGTGAGTCTCACGCAATTCGCTTCACTCTCACACCACGATTAGTTATTATAAAATAACATGTATATAACGCGTGTTCTGATTGGTCGAAACCCGTGTTTGGATCAGGCCATCCAAACACGGAAGACTATCGTGTTGTTGTTATTTTATAAAACAATTACTTTATGGTTTCCGTGTTTGGATGGCCTGATCCAAACACTTGGGAATGTTGCTCGAGTTAAGAAAAGCGGGCAAAATCACTCGCCTTCGGCTCGTGCTTTCGCTCGCTTTTCTTAACTCTCGCAACCAAACACGGAAACCATAAAGTAATTGTATAATCTCACGCATTTAGCAGTTTCATAGTATTTTTTCAATAATATAATATTGTTTATTATATAAACATAAGTGTTATATAGAGTTTTTGGCCACTGAGAAAAATCGTATTTAAACACACGTAAAAAATACGATATTTTTACGTGTGAAAATATCATTTGTTGTAAAACGCATTGCCACAGACGTTTTATTGTTTTTCACTGAATTTTAAATACCAGATTTATTTCTCGTGTTGAACATGATATCTCACTTGTTCACTGCGCTCACTCGTGGGATATCATGTTCAACACTCGAAATAAATCTGGTATTTCCGCACACCCATGTACTATTCTCTATTTACTGTATGTCACAGAAATACAGTTATTGTAACTAAAGTGCCTTGTCTCAATAAAGGACGTTATGAAGCAATGACGTATTTCATTAAAAAACACCAACTCTCATAATGTACGAAATGCCATTTCAGACGAATAAAGCTCAATATTTTGGACACAAAAATGTAAACAAAGGCTTTGTTTACATACAGACTGTAGATCACCTTTAACTTCTCTGCAAAGTTGAGAGGTCTGTAGCCAATAGAAAACAAATTGTTAAGTATGACACAAAGTCTGAAGCAATGACAATAACTAGCGGTGTTCCTCAAGGCTCAATTTTGGGGCCACTATTATTTTTATTGTACATAAATGATATCCAAAATTGCAGCAAAGTTTCCAAAATATTGTTTGCAGATGACACAAATATTTTCCATAGACATTCTTGCTTAAAAAAGTTAAATTTAATCATGCAAGATGAAATAAATAAAATAGCAGATTGGATTAGCAGCAATAAACTATCACTAAGGGACCGCTCATTATTTATTGTACAGGGGGGGGGACTGAGGAGAAACTCTACAGTTGTAATATTTTTTCGTTGCCCCCTCTTAAGACAAGTAAAATTTTCAAAGCCCCCCCCCCCAACAGGCAAAACAAGAACATAAATTTTGCCCCCCCCCCCTCTAGCTCTTTATCTTTATTTAGAGAAACAAAAACTCTAGCTATTTATTTTAGAGAAAGAAAAATAGGTAATGGGGACCAATAGACATTCCCATTATAGACTAATTTTTTATCTTAGCAAAAAAAGTATATTCCCAGGAAGGGCATACTAAAATTAGTAAAATTCCAAAGTTTGGTTGCAAAATGTTGTAAAATATGTAGAAAATATAGCCTTCCAAAGTTTGCAAATTTTGTATTCTTTTGTATAATTGCAATTTTCGCATGCAATACAAAAGTGTACAAAATTTGCAAACTTTGCAAGGCTATATTTTCCGTATTTTGCAACAATTAGCAACCAAACTTTGCAATAATTTACTTATTTTAGTATGCTCTTTCTAGCTGTGGTGATTTATTTGCATCAAGGCCGGATTTTGAGGGAAGTGTGGAGAGGTGCGCACCTCCCCAGAGATCGTTTTGCACCTCCCCTGAGAATTTTTCCACCTCTCTTGAAAGGTCATGCACTTCCCCTTGGGAAAGTTTCAATGATGGAACAAAGTGAAAATCTACACTTTGTGACGTAAGAAAGTTTTCTCTGTAAAATTGAAACAGTGATAGCCATGTCAAGCACCCTTTTAATGCAATGTTTTGAAAGAAACAGTGTAGCAATTGTAATGAAGGGCACGATTGGAGTCATACATTCATAATTCATTAATACACTGGTACATATTATGTACCCTACATGCATACCTCACCTCGTTGATATTGGCCTGTTCTACAATAAGCCCTAACTTTCCATGGGAGTTGTGAGCTAGACCGCTGCACCTCTCCTAAAATTTTTGTCCACCTCCCCCACTATTTTTCACCAAAATCCGGCCTTGATTTGCATCTCTTTGCCTAGTTCTAAAATTAGTCTATAATGGGAATTGTCTATTTACATGAACATGAGAGACTTTTTATTTGACTTCCATTTATGAATATTAAAGTCTATAAATATTGTTATTTGTTGTTAAGTTGTTTTGTGATACATTTTTAAAACTACTGTTTTTTCAAACTGGTAAATATTTTCAAAGCCCCCCTTCTTTCGTCTCTGTGTAATTTTTCAAAGCCCCCCCTTTCAGGTTTTGAAAAATTTGAAGGCCCCCCCAGTTTCTCCTCAATCCCCCCCTGTACAATAAATAATGAGCGGTCCCTAAACACATCTAAAACAAAATTTATTTTATTTAAATCATCAAATAAAAGGATTAAACATAATACAATAATATTGATAAATGGACAACCAATAAAACAAGTTAAAAATATACAACTTTCCTTGGTGTTGTTCATGATCATATTGATAAAATCTACAGGAATAATATCCAAAATTAGACATTTCACAAATTTTAATACTCTTGAACTAGCCTATTATGCTTTAGTTTATCCTTATTTAATATACGGAAATTTGATTTGGGGAAACACATATAAGAAACGACTACAAAAATTAATAAACATTCAAAAGAAAATAATACGATGAATGATGTTCAAGTCATATTCTGAGCATTCTGAACTAGTGATGGGCGATTACCGATTACTTGGTATCGATACCACCCGATACCAGGCCCAAACAGGAAGTAGTCGATACTGCACAGTATCGAAAAAGTGTTTCGATTACTTTTAAAATTAGACATTCATTATAATCCTGTAGTTGTGTCATCGTTTTCATGGTTATTTCTAATAAAATTTATGTACTTTTTGGTATTTTGCTGCATTTAACAATTTAATCAAACTTCCTTTATACTTTATTTGACATTCTATTCTCGCCGACAGAATAAATTATGAAAAAGGCGGGAAATAAAGTAATTTTTTATTTTTTATGGATTGAAATGGCGGATCAAATCGTTACTGTTAAAAATATGTAACTTTTTGAAAATTGGAGAAAACAATCATTTGGGTAATCGATACCTCGATACTTTAACCAAAAAGTAATCAGTATCGTATCGAAACCGATACTGGTGGTATCGCCCATCACTATTCTGAACCACTATTCAACAAAGCAAAGATTCTTAACATTGAAAAAATTAATGATTTTCTGATCAGATTATTCATGTTTCGATATCACTACTTGGATAATATACAAAAATACTTTACCAATTACTATGTTACTAACAACAAAATACATGCTTATCAAATTGTTGAGGAATTGTTCCGAGGTGTTCCTTCAAGTTAGGAAATGAATTGGTCAACATTTTTCGGAACTCTTCTATTGACATTTGTCAATCTGTGTCAGTTGGTCAACATTTGCGAGCTCTCTCCTTGATGACTGAAGTGTCTGCCAAAGTAACATATTACTATATGTGGCTTAGTTAATAAATCAGTTCCGGTTCCGGCCAGAACTTTAACACATGAGCTCAATTAAGTTTTGCAGTATTGAATGTTTAAACCATTAACCAATTGAGCACCAACATGCTCCCCTTGATAAGTAAAATCATCTGTTGTTAGACAATACAAAAGTAAAGTAGGGCACATTTGCATGAGCTTTTAATAAATTAACAAGACACGTTGGAAGATAGTTTGGTTAAGGAGAAAGGCTCTTCCATTGACAAGTAAAATCGTCTGGCTTTACACAGTAAATACTATATTTGGGCACATTACGCCTTAACAGATTTAATAACATCAGGCCTTAAAATATTGGTTGGTTATAGACATTGTTCGACAACTCCGACCCAGTAGTCAAATTGTCCGACGTAGAGAAGAAACCACTGGACATTCCGTCTGACCTAAGGGAAACTGAGCTTTGGTATTGAATTTATTCCTGTCCAATCGAACTTAACTTAACTTGGTCAACAGTACTTTTAATGTTGATATGGCATGCACATGGTCGCTGACAAGAGACTGCCCCTGCCACCGTTCTTAATATGCATGTTATGTAATATATATTTGTATATAGTAAATTAGGTTGGGTTTTTTTCCCTTCTTTTTTTGGAGGGGGTGCGCCTAGCATGGGTCTCGTTGTCCCGTTTGTGCTATCCCCTTTGGACTTAAACTTGTAAATGTTTCTACTATATTTGTCCAATAAAGCTGATAAATATCTGAACTCATGTATATAAGCCTTGTCCAGCGGAGGCTCGTATGTTAAATGGAGAATCAGAGTATAAAAAGTGAACTGGAAATGTTGTTTTAATGTCATCAAGCATGGGGCGGCGAGCGAAATGGTGAAGTGGAAAACAGGGTTACGTTGTCGAAATCGCGCTGCTATTAATATTGGGAAGCAAGTTAATCTTGGCTTGGAAATTAGTATGACAAAAATTATTTAATATCTTCACAACATTTAGTTCAGAATTGATTACATTGTGCTGATATTAATTTGCGTCATTCAGACTTATTTCCGAGCCAAACTGAACTGAAGGTCATCAGACATCATCATACATACTATTACTGTAATGTCCGATCCAAACTCAAAGTCACTGGATATTTTGTCAGACAGCCCTGTAAAATATATTTAAAATAAAATAAGGCCGGTAACATTGTACCATTATCACTATTATCAATAAATTTACTTGAAGTAACATTTTGTCACAGTAGAGCGACATGTCTGGAAAGAAGGTGATTATGGTGACAGGAGGTACCGGCCTGGTTGGCCAGGCTGTCAGGAGCATTGCAGAGGCTGAAGAAAGACGGGAAAATGAAGAATGGATATTTCTATCATCGAAAGATGGTGACTTAGGGTGGTGTATTTATTAACACTTTCTAACATGTAGCAGACTTGCGTAGCTTATCGCCAAATACAATAAACGTTTTTGTAATTTATGTAATTTCTAGAGAGAATTTCAGTAAGCTAACTTTATTTATCCCTGCATACCTCTATCAGTTCTACACTGTTCTTCCTAGAGGTCCAGTAAGGCTCATCTCTTATTGATCCAGTGTTACTACAGGAGGAAACCTAAACTAAACTAACTTCATTTATACTTGACACCTCTATCAGTTCTAAAGTTTTCTTCCTAGAGGTCCAGTAATCATCTCTTATTGATCCAGTGTTACTACAGGAGGAAACCTAAACTAAACTAACTTCATTTATACTTGACACCTCTATCAGTTCTAAACTGTTCTTCCTAGAGGTCCAGTAAGGATCATCCCTTATTGATCCAGTGTTACTACCAGTTCTATCAGTTCTAAATATAGAAGTCTCTTTGTTTTCACAGCAATATGGAAGCAACAAAAGCAATATTTGAGAAATACAAACCAACACATGTGATCCACCTGGCTGCAATGGTTGGAGGGCTATTCAGAAACCTGAAATATAATCTTGACTTCCTTGTAAGTTTTGTCAGCTAAGGCTAATAGAGTTTCATGTTCAACATATATGGAATGCTGTAATTGTTATGTACCGTAACAAGTTTATTTCGTTTTAATTGTAGCGACAAAATATTCTCATAAACGACAATGTTCTACAGTGTTCATATGAATATAAGGTGGGCATACTGCAATATAAAGATACTGTCACCATAATATCAAAAAATACTATTCAACGTCTCCTAACAGGCCCCTCTCCTTAAGGGCACCTCTCTGGTATGGACCAGCTGTCTCCCGCAGCTCTCAAACAGAGACACCTCTCTATAAATAGATCTCTCTCCAATATGGACATCTCTCTAATACAGACATCTTTTTAATATGGGCATCTCTCTTATAGAGACACCTCTCTAATACAGACATCTCTCTAATATAGGCACCTCTCTAATACAGACATCTCTCTAATATGGGCACTTCTCTAACACAGACATCTCTCTAATATGGGAACCTCTCTAATACAGACATCTCTCTAATATGGGCACTTCTCTAATACAGACATCTCTCTAATATGGGAACCTCTCTAATACAGACATCTCTCTAATATGGGCCACCTCTGTAATACAGACACCTCTCTAATATGGGCACCTCTCTAATACAGACACCTCTCTAATACAGACACCTCTCTAATACCAACATCTCTCTGATATGGACACCTCTACCACACACACCTCTCTAATAGTGAGTTAATTTAATATCACGCTAAATGAATACAAACTTTTCTCTAGGTTCAAAAATGTGTATCATGCCTTTCAACATGCATATTCCCAGACAAGACAACATACCCCATAGATGAAACAATGGTCCATGATGGCCCACCTCATGACTCAAACTTTGGATACTCCTATGCCAAACGTTTGATTGATATACAAAATAAGTGAGTGAATGACTTTGACTTGACATTTGCCCAATTTATATTACACTTAAGGCCGTGTTTACGCTATGACGCTACGGCTACGGCAAATTTACCGTAGCGTAGTGATTTGCATCCGGAGTGCCAAACGTAGTGGTCTGTAGTTAATACGCTACGGCAAACCACTCCGCTATAGTATAAACACAATAATAAGAATTTTTAACGAAATTGATTTGCATTTTGAGTGGCAAATGTAGTGGTCCGTAGTTAGCACGCTACGGCAAACCACTCCGACGGTTATAGTGTAAACACAGTGAGTGTTAGCCGTAGCGGGCTAAATCATGTGTGAACTAGATGAACTGCTATTCAGACGAACGTTTACACGAAAAAATATTTAAAAACCCATGAATGGAAAAAGTCATTGCTATAATGGTATATTGATCATTCCATTTACGAATTCGATAACATTAATGTGAAAAAAATCAGCTTAGTATAATCCATTAATGGTTTATTCTTTTCAAAATGTATTTAATTCCCATTAAAGCCATTCAAATCGTTGATGTGAAATAATACACAATTTCCAACAATGTGTTGGTTAGAGTGAGATATTTCGCCATACATCGTATATTGGCATCACCTAAGTATTTATACATGAACTGTGGTTAGAGCTCGACAACTGTCTCTCTGTAGCTCAGACTTTGGTTAGAGCTTGACAACTTTCTCTCTGTAGCTCAGTTGGTTAGAGCTCGACAACTGTCTCTCTGTAGCTTAGTTGGTTAGAGCTCGACAACTGTCTCTCTGTAGCTCAGTTGGTTAGAGCTCGACACTGTCTCTCTGTAGCTCAGTTGGTTAGAGCTTGACAACTTTCTCTCTGTAGCTCAGTTGGTTAGAGCTCGACAACTGTCTCTCTGTAGCTTAGTTGGTTAGAGCTCGACAACTGTCTCTCTGTAGCTCAGTTGGTTAGAGCTCGACAACTGTCTCTCTGTAGCTCAGTTGGTTAGAGCTCGACAACTGTCTCTCTGTAGCTCAGTTGGTTAGAGCTCGACAACTGTCTCTCTGTAGCTCAGTTGGTTAGAGCTCGACAACTGTCTCTCTGTAGCTCAGTTGGTTAGAGCTCGACAACAGTCTGTCTGTAGCTCAGTTGGTTAGAGCTCGGCAACTGTCTCTCTGTGGCTCAGTTGGTTAGAGCTCGACAACTGTCTCTCTGTAGCTCAGTTGGTTAGAGCTCGACAACTGTCTCTCTGTAGCTCAGTTGGTTAGAGCTCGACAACTGTCTCTCTGTAGCTCAGTTGGTTAGAGCTCGACAGCTGTCTCTCTGTAGCTCAGTTGGTTAGAGCTCGACAACTGTCTCTCTGTAGCTCAGTTGGTTAGAGCTCGACAGCTGTCTCTCTGTAGCTCAGTTGGTTAGAGCTCGACAACTGTCTCTCTGTAGCTCAGTTGGTTAGAGCTCGACAACTGTCTCTCTGTAGCTCAGTTGGTTAGAGCTCGACAACTGTCTCTCTGTAGCTCAGTTGGTTAGAGCTCGACAGCTGTCTCTCTATAGCTCAGTTGGTTAGAGTTCGACAACTGTCTCTCTGTAGCTCAGTTGGTTAGAGCTCGACAACTGTCTCTCTGTAGCTCAGTTGGTTAGAGCTCGACAACTGTCTCTCTGTAGCTCAGTTGGTTAGAGCTCGACAACTGTCTTCTGTAACTCAGTTGGTTAGACCTTGACAACTGTCTCTCTGTAGCTCAGTTGGTTAGAGCTCGACAACTGTCTTCTGTAGCTCAGTTGGTTAGAGCTCGACAACTGTCTCTCTGTAGCTCAGTTGGTTAGAGCTCGACAGCTGTCTCTCTGTAGCTCAGTTGGTTAGAGCTCGACAACTGGTCTCTGTAGCTCAGTTGGTTAGAGCTCGACAACTGTCTCTCTGTAGCTCAGTTGGTTAGAGCTCGACAACCGTCTCTCTGTAGCTCAGTTGGTTAGAGCTCGACAACTGTCTCTCTGTAGCTCAGTTGGTTAGAGCTCGACAACTGTCTCTCTGTAGCTCAGTTGGTTAGAGCTCGACAACTGTCCCTCTGCAGCTCAGTTGGTTAGAGCTCGACAACTGTCTCTCTGTAGCTCAGTTGGTTAGAGCTCAACAACTGGATTCTGTAGCTCAGTTGGTTAGAGCTCGACAACTGGACCCTGTAGCTCAGTTGGCTAGAGCTCGACAACTGGACTCTGTAGCTCAGTTGGTTAGAGCTCGGCAACTGTTTCTCTGTAGCTCAGTTGGTTAGAGCTCGACAACTGTCTCTCTGTAGCTCAGTTGGTTAGAGCTCGACACCTGTCTCTCTGTAGCTCAGTTGGTTAGAGCTCGACAACTGTCTCTCTGTAGCTCAGTTGGTTAGAGCTCGACAACTGTCTCTCTGTAGCTCAGTTGGTTAGAGCTCGACAGCTGTCTCTCTGTAGCTCAGTTGGTTAGAGCTCGACAACTGTCTCTCTGTGGCTCAGTTGGTTAGAGCTCGACAGTTGTCTCTCTGTAGCTCAGTTGGTTAGAGCTCGACAACTGTCTCTCTGTAGCTTAGTTGGTTAGAGCTCGACAACTGTCTCTCTGTAGCTTAGTTGGTTAGAGCTCGACAACTGTGTCTCTGTAGCTTAGTTGGTTAGAGCTCGACAACTGTGTCTCTGTAGCTTAGTTGGTTAGAGCTCGACAACTGTGTCTCTGTAGCTTAGTTGGTTAGAGCTCGACAACTGTGTCTCTGTAGCTTAGTTGGTTAGAGCTCGACAACTGTCTCTCTGTAGCTCAGTTGGTTAGAGCTCGACAACTGTCTCTCTGTAGCTCAGTTGGTTAGAGCTCGACAACTGTCTCTCTGTTGCTCAGTTGGTTAGAGCTCGACAACTGTCTCTCTGTAGCTCAGTTGGTTAGAGCTCGACAACTGTCTCTCTCTAGCTCAGTTGGTTAGACCTCGACAACTGTCTCTCTGTAGCTCAGTTGGTTAGAGCTCGACAACTGTCTCTCTGTAGCTCAGTTGGTTAGAGCTCGACAACTGTCTCTCTGTAGCTCAGTTGGTTAGAGCTCGACAACTGTCTCTCTGTAGCTCAGTTGGTTAGAGCTCGACAACTGTCTCTCTGTAGCTCAGTTGGTTAGAGCTCGACAACTGTCTCTCTGTAGCTCAGTTGGTTAGAGCTCGACAACTGTCTCTCTGTAGCTCAGTTGGTTAGAGCTTGACAACTGTCTCTCTGTAGCTCAGTTGGTTAGAGCTTGACAACTGTCTCTCTGTAGCTCAGTTGGTTAGAGCTCGACAACTGTCTCTCTGTAGCTCAGTTGGTTAGAGCTCGACAACTGTCTCTCTGTCGCTCAGTTGGTTAGAGCTCAACAACTGGATTCTGTAGCTCAGTTGGTTAGAGCTTGACAACAGGACTCTGTAGCTCAGTTGGTTAGAGCTTGACAACTGGACTCTGTAGCTCAGTTGGTTAGAGCTTGACAACTGTCTCTCTGTAGCTCAGTTGGTTAGAGCTTGACAACTGTCTCTCTGTAGCTCAGTTGGTTGGAGCTCGACAACTGTCTCTCTGTAGCTCAGTTGGTTGGAGCTCGACAGCTGTCTCTCTGTAGCTCAGTTGGTTAGAGCTCGACAACTGTCTCTCTGTAGCTCAGTTGGTTAGAGCTTGACAACTGTCTCTCTGTAGCTCAGTTGGTTAGGGCTTGACAACTGTCTCTCTGTAGCTCAGTTGGTTAGAGCACGACAACTGTCTCTCTGTAGCTCAGTTGGTTAGAGCACTGCACCGGAATCACAGGGCCACAGGTTCGATTCCTGCAGGTGCGAAACTGGCCTCTTTTAATTAGGGGGTGCATTCCTGCCAGGGACCAAAAGTTGCATTTTTGGCACGCATTTCCACTTGATAATTTCCATCTACAACATCCTTCAACTATGTAAAAATAAGATTTTTCAAAAGCATAAGCTTAGCCCCAGTCAAACGTCGTTCTTCTCGTGCGTCGAACCTAATAGCTGTAGTAAGTAGTGCACAAGAGCGACGTTTGGACCGGGCCTAAAGAAAATTTAGATTGTAAAACAATTTCCTATATATTATGTACTATTTAAAACACGAGCACGAGTGCTTTACTAGATGTAATGCAAACGTTTTTTCTCTGTGTAATTATCTAGAGAGGGGAGACAGTTCTTCACATCGCATGTCGAATACGAAATATTAACATCGTTCGTCTGTTGTTGCGCAATGGTGCTGCTGTTGATGCCAAAACACAGGTACGTGACCTCTAGGAAGAACAGTTTAGAACTGACAGAGCTATCCAGTATAAATAAAGTTAGTTTAGTTTAGGTTTCCTTCTGTAGTAACACTGGATCAATAAGAGATGACCCTTACTGAACCTCTAGGAAGAACAGTTTAGAACTGATAGAGCTATCCAGTATAAATAAAGTTAGTTTAGTTTAGGTTTCCTTTTGTAGTAACACTGGATCAATAAGAGATGATCCATACTGGACCTCTAGGAAGAACAGTTTAGAACTGATAGGGCTACCCAGTATAAATAAAGTTAGTTTAGTTTAGGTTTCCTCCTGTAGTAACACTAGATCAATAAGAGATGACCCTTACTGGACCTCTAGGAAGAACAGTTTAGAACTGATAGAGCTACCCAGTATAAATAAAGTTAGTTTAGGTTTCCTCCTGTATATAGTAACGCTAGATCAATAAGATATGACTCTTACTGGTCCTCTAGGAAGAATAGTTTAGAACTGATAGAACTATCCATGCAGTATAAATAAAGTTTGTTTAGTTTAGGTTTTCTTCTATTAGTAACAATGGATCAATAAGGGACGCCCCTCATAATACATAGGACCTCTATGGAGAACAGCTCAGAACTGATAAAACTATTCAGCATTAATAAAGTTAGTTTAGTGGTTTCCTTGCTCATGTTGTGACACTGGATCAATAATGGAATAGACAACTATAAATATTGATAAAACATGTTCTTATTTTATTTGTTGTAGTCAAGAGAGACAGCTCTCCACATTGCCGTCAAGTCGAAGAACCTTGAAATGGTCAAACTGCTGTTGGACCACGGAGCTTCTTGTGAAAATATCGAC